GAAGTAGTTATGGCAAGTTGTAGAATTGAACTGAGGACTCTGGCATTCAGCTGGTGTGAATAATTTTTTGCAATACCACCAGAATCGATGTCTCAGCTGGGATGTTGTATCTTGTTTTTTTGCGTTAGCCGATTGTTTCAATGCCGATTTCGATCGCAGCAGTTTACTCACCAGTCCTATTTTGGCATCGAAATGATGATTGTCGTGGCCCAGCTGCTTGAGGTGCTTCAATTCTTTTTTTAATAACCTAATTTGATGGTTATTATTGACGTCAGATTCCACTTTATGCTTGATTGTACCATAATTTTTTGCGAAGTAGTTGTATATCATGGTTTGAAATGCAACAGTGAAGTTGTTTAGATTGTCGAAGTTTGGTAGAGTGTGTCGTTGTAGTTGGAAGTGGGTGTTGGCTTCTAACCATTGAGCGTGGCTTTTCTGGAGTTTGACTCCTGCGAGCGGCATTGCGGTTTTGTCTGAACTTGGTGCCCAATTGTCTGTTTTAAGTGGCTTTGTTGGCGGAGACTCCTGCGAGGCGTTTGTTGAAGAGAATTGTTGCATGGTGTTTGCCAGAGAAGGTTGCTGCATGGCATTTGTTGGAGAGAATCGTTGTATGGCGTTTGTTGAGGGAAGTTGTTGAATGACTTTTGTTGATTGAGACTGCAGTAAGGCGTTTGTATAATTATTATAAAAATAATAATAATAATATTAACAATAATAACAATAATAATAATAATAATAATAATAATAATAATAATGAAAACTGTTTTATTTCTTCAAAAGCCAAAATATAAATGAAAATTACAATTAAATATAAAATGATCAATTATTATAATAGTTAAAAGATTAAAATAATGGATAATTTAACATCAAAGCTCGTCATTAGGAATGTGTACAAAGATGATAAAATAATATAAAAACTAGAGTCAAGCTTTATTTCTGTCACAATACATTGCGTAAGTAGACGCCATCGCAGAATTGATTAAGCTAGATCTAAAATTGTCACGCCAGCTTATTTTAGTTTGAGATAAATTGAAAAAATTATAAAGTCCTATTGGCGAAATTTCAAAAGTGTTGATTAAAATATTGCAATGTTTAAAATCATTCGAAAGGTATTCTGAGGTTGTTCTTGACTTATCCACTTGA